TCCTGCCCGGCCCAGAGCTCCACTCGTCCTGCTGCCCGGCTCTGCGCTCCGCTCGTCCCTCCTGCTCGGCTCGGCCAGCCAAGCCGAGCCCGAACCCCGCGACAATGACGTGCGGAAAGCGACGTTCAACAAAGACTTGGTGAAAGCGATCGGATGAAAGGGACAAGACCTAAGGACAGGTGACGTCCGCTAAACGACGAGCCTCGATTAGAGGGCTTTGACTTAGTGAATTGTACCGCCTATAAAAGGGGTGGCACCCCTCATTGTAATGGATCCCCAGTTTGAAATCAATATACTCCTACTTTGCATTCTCTCTCTCTCTAAAACTTCTATTATTTCATACTCTCGGTGGTTTATAGCCATCACTTGCGTTCAGCAACACCATTCTGTTCAGGGGTGTAAGGGCAGGACGTGTGATGCAGAATCCCAAGATTTTGAAGAAAAATGCCAAAGGCTGTATTTACAAATTCTTTCCCATTATCACTTCGAAAAATCTGAATATTTGAATTAAATTGAGTTTTAACCATTTTTTCAAAGCTAGTGAAAACGGAGTAAGCTTCCGATTTGTGTTTGAGAGGGTAAATCCAAGTAAATTTACTAAAATCATCAACAAAGCAGATATAGAAACGAAACCAGAGATAGATGGAACAGAGGTTGGTCCCCAAGCATCAGAATGAATTAGTTGAAAAGGCGTTGTGGCCTTATGTTCAGAGAGTTCAAAGGATAAACGACAAGACTTAGACACATGACAGGACTCACAATGTAATTGATCAGAAAATTTAAAACCTAAAGTAGACAAAATAGACTTGGCAACAGCAGGAGCCGGATGTCCAAGCCGGCGATGCCAGGTGGATGCAGTGACAGCTTGACACACAACAGGGATAGGCTTGGAAGGAAGGGTATAGAGACCATGCTCACAGGGGCCGGCACTGCACAGCTCTCAAATCGTTCCGTCTGCTACTGCTCCGCAAACGGTCGACCGTTCCCCCTCAGACATCCACCCACAGTCGACCGTCCCCTCACACCCGTTCTGAACCTCTACAGATGATTCACCACATGGACCGTTCCCCACCCCACGGTCGACCGCCCTCCCAACCCCTCTCTGAATCTCTAAAAACGGTTGATACCATCATCCGCTCACCCCCACACGGTCGACCGTCGACAGAACTGCTCACCACAACAAATGCCCATCCCATGCAAACCCGTGCCAAATCAGGCATTTTCAAGTCTAAAACCTATACTGCTACCACCATTGATACCTCTCCTCATACCTCTGAACCTCACACCTATCACCAAGCCTCCAAGAATAGCTATTGGTGTCATGCCATGGATGAGAAATTTGCAGCTCTGAATTTGGTGCCCCTACCCAAGGGCCGAGATCCTATTGGTTGCGAGTGGGTGTATCGCATAAAACGGAATCCGGATGGCTCCGTCTCTCGGTACAAGGCTCGTCTAGTGGCCAAAGGGCACCATCAAGAGTATGGCATTGATTATAAAGAGACGTTCAGCCCGGTTGTCAAGCAACAAACCATCCATCTGGTACTCACTCTTGCTCTACACTATGATTGGCCTCTTCACCAGCTTGATGTTACCAATGCCTTTCTCCATGGTACACTCGATGAGGATATTTATATGTCTCAACCACCGGGCTACGTCAATCTAAATAGGCCTGAGTTTGTTTGCAAGCTACGCAAATCTCTGTATGGCCTTAAACAGGCTCCTCGTGCTTGGTACACCTGTTTTGCTACTTTTTTGCAGGGACTTGGCTTCCAGTGCTGTCGTCATGACACCAGTCTGTTCACTTTTCACAGCTCCCGCGACATGGTCATTGTTCTCCTATATGTTGATGACATCATTATTACAGGAGCTCTTCTGATCTCATCTCTGCTGTCACTCAGGCTATGCATAAAAATTTTCGCCTCAAAGACTTGGGTCTGCTGGATTTCTTTCTTGGCATTGAGGTTCGTCGCTCTGCGGATACTATCTTGCTTCATCAGACAAAATACATCTTTGATCTTCTTCAACGGGCTGGCATGACTGATTGCAAACCCACTGTCACTCCGATGGCGGCGCGGCCAACCCAGGAGATCTCGTCCACCTTCTCCGACCCAACATTGTTCCGTAGCCTTGTGGGTGGTCTACACTATCTTGCGGTAACTCGCCCTGATATTCAGTATGCTGTGAATCGAGTTTCTCAGACCATGCATAATCCTACAGAGAAGGATTACTTGGCTCTCAAACATATTCTTCGCTACTTGAAGGGTACTTCTTCTCATGGCCTTCTGTTCAGAAAAAGGCTCTCTTGATCTTGCTGTTTATTCGGACTCTGACTGGGCTAATGACAAAGATGATCGCCGTTCCACCACTGGGTATCTTCTTATGCTGGGGCCAAATCTTATCTCATGGTGCACAAAAAAATAGACTCGAGTCTCGCGCTACTCCACCGAAGCTGAGTATCGCGCTATGCCCGCGGGGGTGGCAGAGGCGATGTGGCTTCGTTATATTATGGATGCTCTGCATGTTCCGCCTACGAAACCTAAGATTTATTGTGATAATGAGTCCACAATCTGTGTCACCAAGAATCCCGTTCTCCATGATCGCATGAAGCATGTTGGCTCTGACTGTCACTTTGTTCGAGACGAGGTTATGGCTGGCACTATGACTACACATCATGTTCCTTCTTCTGAGCAGCTTGCTGACATCCTAACAAAACCGCTTCCTCCGACTCCGTTCCATTATTTGTGTTCCAAGCTGCCCCTCGTATCCGTTGATCAGCTTGCGGGGGATAATAGGAAGACTCCTAATATTATTTTATTTAGTTTCCTAATTCTTGTATTACCATAATACTTTATTCCTTTCTTACTAGGAATATGACTCTCTCTTTTGATCCTATATATAGGGACATATATCTCAATATTTAATAAGATAAATTATTATCAAATTGTATGAGGGTTAATTAAGAACTCCCCCCTCTTCACGGTGGTAGGTAGCTCCGGTGAATTGTGGCCACCACTGCCACAAAATGTGGGGAATCCCGTCGCCGAGGGGAGGCAAGTCCTTCGGGTAGGCTTCCCGGATAGCCCGAGCACAAGAGGAATAGCCTCCAATCCCTGCCAATTGAAATATCGAGAGCTCAACCCGTTCTCCTTCGTCATTGTAAAGATATATGGGGATCCATCTGCAGCATCTCTTCCGGCGGCGTTCATCCTCATCAGTGTCAACCACTTCTTCCCGGTCACTCAGTGGAGAGGCGGGTCGTACTACAGGGGTGAAGAATTCCCCAGATGTATCAGAATCACCTCCAGCCATGAAGGGGTCATCCTCCATATCTATTTCAATATATGTTTAAGTGATACGGATAGTTAATTAAGTAATCGATCAGTTTCTCCAATTATCCACCAATTAATTCATCAACATAAAAAAATGAAGTAAAAATGAAATTCTTAAAAATTCATCAACATACCTCCTTCGCCGGCAGTGGTCAATCGACTGCGCTGAGTGTCCATGGTCCGCAACATGCTTCCCTGCGGCAGACTCAACAGCTCGCAGGAAAGGTGAAAATTCGAGACGTACAGAAATCCGAATTTCACTCGCATTGCCAAGGCTATGATTCGAAGCGTGATAGATGTCTTCGTTTCATATGAGGACATCCATGACTGTGGATGAAACGAGAGAGAAATTGCGTGGTCCGTGCTCATCGGCGATAGATGAGTCTCGAAGCCTCGAACTCCGTGAGGCACGCCATTGTAGAACAGATCTGGCTGAGTCGCACCATTGACGAAATCGGTTTCCTGATCCCGAATCACTGGGCCGTATGCAGACATATCGATTGTGAGGCTTCTGTTGCAGACGAGAATTCGCAGAGCTGTCAAGGTACAGATCGAGGAATCGCCGGCAGTTGAAATCAGAACGAGTAAGACAAGGAGGATGTGACCGACAGAGAAGAGATAGAGGCTTGACGGTAATGGAGATTATATATTTATTTGAGCAACGGGAAGGGGTGCGAACAGATAATTATATGCGAGCGGGAAAAAACTGACCGCACGGGCAGTCAGTTGTAGACTTATTTGACCGGAATGCTCACCTTGGAATGATCCTCCGACGAGTTGTTATTTTATACTGTAGTATGTATCCCTAACCTCTTGAAAATCACACATTCGCAATTTTTTTTAACGCCACAAAATGTGGGATACACAAGTGGTTGAGGTACATAAATGCTGTTCTAACATATTTTTTAATATTATCAGTAATTTTTTTTATAGGTAAAAATAACTACCAAAATTTGTGTAAACTTTTGAGAGTTGATTCTACCGCGCGTTTATTTATGACAAAGTGAGAAAGGTTAAAGAATGCCAAGAGTGCAATAGTCAAGTTCCATCCTTTGTAAATGTTCTCAAAAGTTTACTCTGTTAATCATAATGCTTTTACAGGTACCAAATGCATGTTCTATTATTTGCCATTAACATGCAATTAAAATCTAATTTACCTGCACTCTCATTCGATCGAGTCTGGCAAAACCCTCAAAATAGATACTACCTCCGTCCCGCTATATTCGTCCACTTTTAACTTTTGAAACTGTTCATCTAAATACTTTGACTCATCAAATTCTCTCAATGTGTAAGCCTAAATATAGTCATGTATGATCTTGTTTAATTTGTCTTAACATATAGATTATTAATATATAATTTCTATAATTTTTTAATATACAAATTATAAGATAAAATAAATAAAGAAGTGCATTGGATGGTGTGTAAAAATGAAAGTGGACAAATATAGTGGGACAGAGGGAGTATTTCTTTTCTGAACGGATGAGTATTTATGATCTTTGACAAAAATGCTAGAGGTAAACTTAAATGTACCTCATGCATTGTACATCACACATTTTGTGGTATAAAAAAAAGAAAAAAATAAATAGAATTTGTGTTTACAAAATTGGAGCACCTACACCATTTTGTGTACACAGCCTTTTGGGTCTTGTAGCCACAAACCTATAGGTGCAACTGTTGCGGGAAGTAGTTTAGTCGTAGACTCGTAGGATTAGACCGCCATAATGTGTGCGCACTCTTCTTTATCTTTATCTGTAGAATTAATGTATTTTTAATCCAAAAGTGTACTTCAATTGTTTTAAATTGACACAAAGTATCGATTTGACAGTTTGTAGTGACAAAAAATATCAATTCAATTTTTTTTTTCTAAATATCAAATTGACATTTTTTATCAGTGTAATATGTCAAACTGGTACTTTGTATCGATTCTAAACGGTTGGGGTACAAAATTGAGTACACTTTATGATGTACCCCTATGAGGTATATAAGAGTGGATAGAAACTGGAAACGAATTTTGGTAATAAATGTGCTAATGTGTCTATTTGGTATAAAAGGGTTAGATGTTCTTCGTGTTTGGCACCAAAATGAACCTGCAAGTTCCTTATCTATGCAATTTTAATACTCATTGATGGAAACCGCTTTTTCGGGGCGCCGACCCGACGAAATCGTTACCGGGTCGGCACCGCACCGAATAGCGAAATCCGGAAATTAAATAAATAAATAAAGCGGAGAGAAAGTATTTATACGTGGAAACCTAAATCGGGAGAAAACCACGGGCCTTTTTAGGCGGTGCCATGCCAAAGGGGGAGGAACTTTTATTAATCTCGCGGGAATTTACATATACATCACTGTAGGAGCTTGGAGCCATTAATGGAGCTCCAAGCTAAAAGAAGAAGAAGAATGAAGAATTGTAGGAACATGTTGTAGGAATCTGGCCTCCCTCCTCCCTCCTTCGTAACCTGCATTTAAAGGGGAGAAGGAAATAATTGATGGAGACAAGAGGGGACATTGTCCATGTGAAGCCCATGTGCGGCATTTGGTTTCCATGTGGTAGTGTTCCACGGGTCCCGCCAAATGTCTCCACATCACTTCAAATATATTCTTCTGTCTATATATCTCTGGTTCTGTCTTGAATAATTTATCTGATTTATAAATTGGGCCAGATAAAATTGGGCTTTCTTGTACTGTTCAAATAATATTGGATTAGGAAAAATCCCTAATCCATCACATGCCCCCCTAGTTTTGAGTCTGTCTTGGGAGTGATGGAAACCGCTTTTTCGGGGCGCCGACCCGATGAAATCGGTACCGGGTCGGCACCGCACCGAATAGCGAAATCCGGAAATTAAATAAATAAATAAAGCGGAGAGAAAGTATTTATACGTGGAAACCCAAATCGGGAGAAAACCACGGGCCTTTTTAGGCGGTGCCATGCCAAAGGGGAGGAACTTTTATTAATCTCGGGGGAATTTACATATACATCACTGTAGGAGCTTGGAGCCATTAATGGAGCTCCAAGCTAAGAGAAGGAGAAGAATGAAGAATAATAGTAGAACTAGCAGGAAATTGGCCTCCTTGAGTATGTAGCCTCGTAGGAGAATCATTGGTCTCTCCCCTTCCCCTCTTTGTAGTATTGTATTTAAAGGGGAGTATATGCATGCATCCCAACAATGCCATGAGGTTGCCATGTCACCTCCATGTGCATATGTTTAGTATATGGGCTCCACTAAATATTTTTACATCATTTTAAATATATTCTTCTGTCCATATATCTCTGGTTTGTCTTAAATAATTTATCTGATTTATATCTTGGGCTAGATAAAATTGGGCTTTCTTGTATTGTTCAAATAATATTGGATTAGGAAAAATCCCTAATCCATCACATGCCCCCTAGTTTTGAGTCTGTCTCGAGGAACGAGACAGATTCAAAACTATATAACTCAGTGGGTTGCCTCATGGGATAAAACTTTTCTTGGAACCTCGGCAAGAGGACCTTCTTTTTTTGGAGGGTCTCGTTACCTCCTGGGTAAGGATTTAACTTAGTGTATCTCGAAAGAGGACTTTTCTCGGGGATTTGGTGCCTCTTGGAAGAGGACTTTTCTCAGGGATTTGTGCCTCTTTAGAGGAGGACCTTCTCGGGACTTTGTGCCTCTTTAGAAAAGGACTTTCTCGGGACTTTGTGCCTCTTTAGAAAAGGACTTTCTCGGGACTGTGTCTCTTTAGAAGAGGACTTTCTCGGGACTTTGTGCCTCTTTGGAAGAGGACTTTCTCGGGACTTTCTGCCTCTTTAGAAGAGGACTTTCTCGGGACTTTGTGCCTCTTTAGAAGAGGACCTTCTCGGGACTTTGTGTCTCTTTGGAAGAGGACTTTCTCAGGACTTTGTGCCTCTTTGGAAGAGGACTTTCTCGGGACTTTGTGCCTCTTGGAAGAGGACTTTTCTTTCTTTTTAGTTCCTCGGGAAGAGGACTCAGTGCCTCTTGGAAGAGGACTTTTCTCGGGGATTTGGGCCTCTTAGATGAGGACTTTCTTGGGACTTGGTGCCTCTTCGGAAGAGGATTTGGTGCCTCGGGGAAGAGGACTTTTCTCGGAGCTTGGTACCCCTTGGAAGAGGACTTTTCTCGAGGACTCGTTGCCTCTGGGAAGAGGGCTTTTCTCGGGGATTCGTTGCCTCTAGGAAGAGGGCTTTTCTCGGGGCTCTTTTTTCAATATTCTTTGGGAGTCTCTAAACCCTCACCTGATATCTATCTGACGGTGGTTGGGCACTCCGCTCTTAGAATTATAGACAATCTCCGTCCACCTTTCTCTTCGTCCCTGTCCCTCCAATTGAGGGGGGGCCTACTCTAATCTCTTTATAGGATTCTTTCCTTTTGGGTAGCTTGTTCTTAATGGGCTGGGCTTCAGCCCATCCTTAAGCCCCAATCTTTTTCCTTATCCTATCTTTCCTCAACCTCGGTACGGGAGTCTATTACTATCTCCAGTAATTCGATCACTTAACTCGATCTAATTACTGACCTCTGCTTTATATTCTCCAGTAATCCGATCACCTTACTTGATCTAATTACTGACCTCTGCCTTCTATTCTTTTACATTATTACTTTTATCAACTTATACAACTCGGAACGGACCACCTGAGGCTTGATCAGTCCATTTGAGAGACTCATGAAGTTGGAGCGGTCCACTGGAGGCCAAATCCGTCCATGGGAAGGACCTATGAAGATGGAGCGGTACACTGGAGGCCAAATCCGTCCATGTGAAGGACCTGTGGAGATGGAGCGGTCCACTAGAGGCCAAATCTGTCCATGTGAAGGACCTATGAAGATGGAGCGGTCCACTGGAGGCAAAATCTTTCCATGTGAAGGTCCTATGAAGATGGAGTGGTCCACTGGAGGCCAAATCCGTCCATGGGAAGGACCTATGAAGATGGAGCGGTGCACTAGAGGCCAAATCTGTCCATGTCAAGGACCTATGAAGATGGAGCGGTCCACTGGAGGCAAAATCCGTCCATGTGAAGGACCTATGAAGATGGAGCGGTCCACTGGAGGCCAAATCTGTCCATGTGAAGGACCTATGAAGATGGAGCGGTCCACTGGAGGCCAAATCTGTCCATG